TATTTTCAGACAACGAAGGGCCACTTTGAAGGAATTTTGATTTTTTTAAAAATTGTTAAACCTTTAGTATCAGTTAAGTATTAATAATCCTCTTTTATTAATTAAATACATTTTTTGGCTTTATGAGCGTTGCTGGTACATGCCTATGGGATGTAAAACAGAAGATATTTCCGGAAAGCGAGAAGTAACATTTGTAAACGTTGGTACTATTAATCTCTAACCAATAAGGATGAATGCAAATGTAAATGTACTAAAAAGAAGTTGATATCCTGACAGAATAAATAAATGAAACAAGAAAATACGAAGGGATGTAGTGCAACTTGACTTAAGAAGATCATTGTTCATGGCAGGTAGTGAGTCTTTGTCATGTCGTTTTGCTCTTTCCGCTGACATAAATGCTGGGCTTATGCAGTTCAGTAAATGTTAGGTTATTATTCGCTGTTTATTCATGCAGTGCTTTGCGAAAAGAGGATGTCTAAAAGAAGACGGATGTTTTCGGAAGTCTGGATTGAACTACTTGTTCAGTTGGTAGAGACTTGATAACTACATTTCTTTTAAATTTAGTAATATACAGATCTACACAGTTGAGTTTCACAGACTTTCTCAAACGGCCTATCGTACTAACAAACTTTCATCTTGTATTATTTGAGGTTTTCACGGCGGAGAGTACGAAAATTTCTGTCTTCTGGGTTGTTGCGCTGTGTAGTCTGGTCGATGTCTACAAACGTTTCAGAGGTCATATTGCCTCCATCATCAGGGCGATGAGTATGAAGATTTCTGCCTTCTGGGTTGTTGCGCTGTGTAGTCTGGTCGATGTCTACAAACGTTTCAGAGGTCATATTGCCTCCATCATCAGGGCGATGAGTATGAAGATTTCTGCCTTCTGGGTTGTTGCGCTGTGTAGTCTGGTCGATGTCTACAAACGTTTCAGAGGTCATATTGCCTCCATCATCAGGGCGATGAGTATGAAGATTTCTGCCTTCTGGGTTGTTGCGCTGTGTAGTCTGGTCGATGTCTACAAACGTTTCAGAGGTCATACTGCCTCCGTCATCAGGGCGATAAATCGCAACAACCCAGAAGACAGAAATATTCAAACTTTCATCTTGTCCATTCTCACTCAAATAAGGCACAGGTTTAAAATGTGGGAGCACTTAAGGGATTGGCAATTTCTTTTTGATTTTGTGTTTTGGAACTAGAAGTCTGAAAAGTTGCACACATAATCCCTGGACAAGTGAGAATAAAGGGATAAACATAAATTATGAAACTGTTGTCTTGTATGGTTGTGGAACATGGTCTCTTACCTTGAAGGAAAAACGTAAATTACAAGTATTTGAAAACAGAACGCTGAGGAAGATGTTCGGACCTATGAGGGATGAAATAAGTGAGGAATTTAGAATATTTCATAACGAGGAGCTGTGAGAATTGTACGGGTCACCTAGTATAGTGAGGATAGTGGAATCTAGGAGGCTCCAATGGGCTGTACATGTAGCACACATGGAGATGAAATGGGTGTATATAGAATTTTGGTCGTAAATTATTCTGTAAAACGACCCCTAGGCAGACCAAGAAGAAAATAGGAGGATATATAGCGTGGGCCACGTTATAAATCCTTTGCCTCATTACGTATTTATATTTTTATACTGCTTCGTAATAAAGGATATCTAAACTACTGTTTATAACGATGTAAATGCCAGGAAATCTGCTTGGCTGAATTTGTCAATCGTCCTTCGTCATCAGCATCTGCATCTACGAACACGCGGAAATTTATCTGTCCCTTTCACTTGTTCTTGTGTGAACAAATTTAGATAGCTAGCACGTGTCGACATGCGCTAAGCTAATTCTTTAATCTTCACAGTTACGAATAATTCAAATCAAGGCCACCTTGCGAGTTCGGCCATCTTTAACACCAGTAACTTGTAATGTTTTCTGAAACAAATATTATCTTATTGCATATTTAGTGAGATAAATAGAAAAGTTACTTCTAATTTCATTTAAGTGATAGTACCTGTTAACAGAAATACTTCTTCCATATACTCACAGGTGTTATACAAAGATTTATACAGGACGTTATAGTAGGTCATGGACAGACGTATACGATTCAAGTAAAAATGTATCACTCTCTCATTTTGCCTGAATTAATTGCTATCTGATATTAGGCACCGAAAGTGACCATAAATTTACTTTATTATGAAACGTGACTGTACAACTCAAGTTTAAAATTCTGTTCTTAATGGATCATCGGAGCATAATCGGCTAATATAATGCACCTGTTAACAGTTTTCCTATCTTGTGTGCGTCAGATTCGTTGAAAACGTAAACATTGTCAGGATGTCAAAACATCACATTCATTAATAACAGAAAGACACGTCTGTCAGAGCTACAACTAACAGTGAAAATTATGATTATAACAGGTTGTTTTGCAACTCGAACATTCGGCTCTAAAGTTTTCTGTATTACTTTACTATATTCTAAGTGATTGTGTGATTTCATACATTCTGATGGATCAGAGCGATTTAGAATAAAATGAAAACTCTCTGTCGAGGAAAATATTTTTAAATTACAGTAAGATGAAAATGTACACAATTACACTGACAGCATGGGGATTTAGTTCATAACTTTTAATGATCGCTCTGTATTAGAGTGATCTACTCCTTAAAATCGCTGCGGGTACTATATACAAAACCTACTTGAACATTTAACAACTTAGCATTCAATATATTTATTTTGTACAGTCTATACACAAACGTTTGAAATTTATTGGTGTTATAAAAATTATATAATATTAAAATATTTTATTGTGTAAAATATTATATTAGCGCTCTTAATCGTAAATACGATTTTACATTATATTTTTTTTAGACGGACGTTACTCTACACATCTCTTGAAAAATATAACGTCTGACTACAATAAACAACTTACCATGAAAATGGAAAGCTACAAACAGAACTACGGATCATTATAATATATTGCATCAAATATCTAATAGTTTTTAAAATATTTTAAATTGATAAAAACCTGAAGACGACGGTATTACCCGTCGAAACATGTCGTTTTAATAAAAGCGCTAAAAAAATATAATGTAAAATCGTATTTACGATTAAGAGCGCTAATATAATATTTTACACAATAAAATGTTTTAATATTATATATTTTTTACAACACCAATAAACTTCAAACGTTTGTGTATAGACTGTACAAAATAAATATATTTAATCAAACACAAACATGACGCATATAAGATACAAACTTAGCATTCGTCTTGCGTTATAATATGGAAACAGAACATCCATCATTATTACCGCAAAACCCTCCATTTCAACTTATTCTGATCCAGTTAATTAACTTTACACAGCCTAACCCTAAGTCATTACTATAAATTTTAATGCTTCTCTTACGCGGCACCAAATCCCAGAAGGACGTTATTTTCACTCAGTTAAAACGTTTTATCTGAAACACTTTAGTCTCGAAAGTAGACAAAACCGTTTCAGAGAAACGTAATGAACCTGCTGAAGACGATGACGGAACCCACAAGAACAATATTATTAACTTTACCGTCGTGAGAACCTCAGATCTCACATCGTCTGGTTTCTTTGACCAGAAATGAAATAAGTTATCACAACAAAGAGTAAAGATATTTCTTAATTTAACACCATGCAAACGTCAACTTTTATGCTAAATCAATTGTCGCCAAAGGTTCATTGCTCTGTTAACAAGAGCCAGCAGTAGTCTCATCCTGAGCCAGATGATTCCACTCCACACTATCACACCCTGATTCTTTACGATGAATTCTAACATTGTCCTACCATCTATGTCTGGGTCTTCTTTCCATAACGTTTTCCCACCAACATTTTATATTGGTTTCTCATCGCCCCCACCTGTGCTATATGCATAGCCCATCTCATTCTCCAGTCTCTTGCCTCCTTTATCACCTTAGGTTCTAATGATCTCAGTTTTTATCAATAGAGATTTATGTTATTACTAAAATCTTAATGGAAATGGACTTTCAGTGGAAAATAGATTGCCTTCTTATCATCATCTTCTGTTTTGAAGATTTCTGTCTTCTAGGTTGTTCTGCCGTGTAGTCTGGTCGATGTTAACCAACGTTTCAGAGGTCATACTGCCTCCGTCATCAGGGCGATGAGTATGAAGATTTCTGTCTTCTAGGTTGTTGCGCTGTGTAGTCTGGTCGATGTTAACCAACGTTTCAGAGGTCATACTGCCTCCGTCATCAGGGCGATGAGTATGAAGATTTCTGTCTTCTAGGTTGTTGCGCTGTGTAGTCTGGTCGATGTTAACCAACGTTTCAGAGGTCATACTGCCTCCGTCATCAGGGCGATGAGTATGAAGATTTCTGTCTTCTAGGTTGTTGCGCTGTGTAGTCTGGTCGATGTTAACCAACGTTTCAGAGGTCATACTGCCTCCGTCATCAGGAAGGCATGACCTCTGAAACGTTGTTAAACATCTATCATACTTCACGGCAGAACAACCCAGAAGACAGAAATTTTCACACTCGCCACTATGAAAACCTCAAATCTTACATGTCTTATGTTTTCCTCGTTGTATTTAGTTAATTCACTTGTGTTCCTCTCTGAAGCATTTACATTCCATGCAAAATAAGAAGCTATAACTCTAACATTCGTGACTTTTCTCACAGACTGGGATATACAAAAACACCCACAACATTTCGGAGGCGGACTTTCTTCCCTTCTTTATTTCCCATTGCTGAGCCTCTTCCTTCTTCCTTACCTGATGACGACGTTTAAACCAGCCTCCGAAACGTTAGCATTTCCGTATATTTTACTGCAGACGCTGAACATTCACCAGGAAACTAAAATATCGGCTATTTCAAAAGCTAATTGTAATGATTTGCTTAAGAATCATTTGGTATGGATGGACTAAAGCGTATATATTTTAGTATTGAAGGGCGAAAGCACATGCTTGAAAAGGAAACTTTCAATGGCACTGTTGTTTTATGTGTTTTTCTTTGTCTTATTTTCAGGTTTAACCAAAAATATGCTGCCTGCGGTTGCTATACTACCTACGTGGTAAGTCTTAACAACAACATATAAAAAAATGTATTTCATTGTGTGCCTTTCGAATATCTGAGTATGTTTAAAAAACCACGGTGCAAACATTTATAAATAAAGTGCTTACTTGTTCAATTACTCTCTACAAATATGGATAAGTAGTCTATTTTCTCCTACTCGTTGCATAACTCAAGAGAGATCTTTCATTCAGGTTAAAATAGTTTTGTGGGATAATAATTGGTTACACTAATGCTAATTTATATGAGAGAACAATTTGAATTGTACGTAATTATGCAATTATATGCAATCAGGATATTATCTGTTACAACTACCACACAGTCAAATGCACCCTGCAATGTGAATATGCAGAATGAAATGCAGTAAATTATTTCTTTGTGTGTATTACATTACAAAATGACACAAAAGTTAATGTCTGGTGTTGTCAATGAGACAATTCAATTCTGTCTTATGTAAGGAAATTAATTTCTTTAGTTCGTTAGCTTACATATTACATATATAACATGAAACATTTTTGTTGCTTGTAAAATGTTTTTTTTCCTACACCGACTCATAAGCGTAATTAGTAAAGGCTATTACTTTTAAAACACCTTTGATTAGTTAATTTGTGAAATCAAGATCCATATGTTTAGGATTTTATATTTTCACGTTAACGTAATTAGCTGAACAAAATATTAATAGTGGTGTCTTAATCATCCACATTACACCCTGAAGACGTACACGTTGCTATTTGTGGACAAATGTAGGTAATGGTTTGCATTAAATTACATTCATATAACTCTAATCCTCTTCAACTGATAAGGAATTGATTAACTGAACATTAGTAGTCTCATGTATCATCGTGTACCTGTTCAAGCAGCATTTTATTTCTGTACCAGTTTTCGTGCTGAATCATCCACAGCTGAGGTCATTATAAATCAACTTGTAATATTATCACAAGTGATAGCTTTTCAATTACACATTCATATATACAGTATATGCGTCATTTCTTAGCAATAGGAAAGTGTTGCAAGCTAAAACAAATAGATTTATGTCTGATTTGAGGTTTTCACAGCGATGAGTATGAAGATTTCTTTCTTCTGAGTTCTTGCGCTGTCTAGTATGGTAGATGTTTAGCAACGTTTCAGAGGTCATACTGCCTCCGTCATCAGAGTATGAAGATTTCTGTCTTCTGGGTTGTTGTGCTGTGTAGTCTGGTCGATGTTTACCAACGTTTCGGAGGTCATACTGCCTCCATCATCAGGGCGATGAAGATTTCTGTCTTCTGGGTTGTTGCGCTGTGTAGTCTGGTCAATGTTTACCAACGTTTTAGAGGTCATACTGCCTCCGTCATCAGAGTATGAAGATTTCTGTCTTCTGGGTTGTTGTGCTGTGTAGTCTGGTCGATGTTTACCAACGTTTCGGAGGTCATACTGCCTCCAACGTCGGTAAACATCTACCAGACTACACAGCGCAACAACCCAGAAGACATAAATCTTCAAATAGATTTATATTCTCTTACCGGATTAAAAGGCATATCAACAAGACTGGAAATGTATAAACAGTACGGTGCATGCGTTCTTTACAGACTCTGAAGTCACAGAATAATGCGTGAGTTACGTTACTTAGACAAATTTAGCTTCCAGCTCTACAAATTACGTGGCAATAATGTCTTCCTTAAGTATTGTAAATCAATACGTACTTGTCAAAGGAGCCTTAGCTCTGCAATAGCTTACTGAACTCATACGGTTGCGATCATGTGATCGAGTCCTAGAAAAGTCAGAACATGTTTATTTTCATGCAAATGCCATAAATGTTACATGTTACGAAGAGGTCCCTTACCAGAGTTCCGTATTTTTCGAAAATCCATAACCATACATCATTGCATGGGCCTATTGCACGTGTCGATCCCACCTCACAAGTTTGTTCTCCCGCCATACTTGTATTACCGATTGCAGGAAATTGAAAAGTGTAATTTTATGGTAGAACCCAACTGCGTTACGTCCATATTTAGTTTCGTCTAAATTCGTCTGCGATTCTCGAGTTGAATCAGACAAATAATGAGTCGTGCCTGGAAATCCCGAGAAATGTTAATCAATTATGTATCAGTTGAAAAGGATTAGCGTCATGGCAAGATACAGGATAAATGGACAAAGATATATAATTTAATGCACACAGTTAGTATCCCTACATGGGTTACATTTGTCCACAAAAAGCAATGTTCACTCCTGTAGCGTATAATTTAGATAAATGATACGTCACTATTAATATCATGTTCAGCCAGTTAAGTTGGACGTGGAATTATAAACTTTCGAACACATGGAGTTTGATTCTGTAAATTAACCATACTAGGATACTCAACTACGAGTAATTACGCCCATCAGTCGCCGTAAAAAAAATATTTTACAAGCAAAATACATTTTTAGTGCGTATGGATGATCAGGCATCCTAGGGCTAATGCAGCGAAAAGTGAACACGTCACCAGCCGCGGCGATCCGAATGGTAATAATGATGATCATCTCGAAACTTGACGTGAAGTTTGTGCTGTTAAAATACGCCGTCTAATTAAGTCTTTCGGGTATAACGCGATGGCCATTAGTAACCCTGATATAGCAAATTTCTTGAGGACTGTGGGTTGCGTTTGTAAGTAAACCTAACTAAATAAAGGTCACCGAAGCCGAGACCATCTTGAGAAACTAACAGTCGCTAAGCTAGTCAAAAACTGAGCAGCCTTTTCTGGAAAACAAAAGCCCATTATCGTTTTTGCAACAGCCAGTCACAGGGCCGCATTCTGAGCCAGATAAATCCAATCCGCCGTATTTCATGGTTGTGGCATAATTATACTAAAATTAATTTAGTTTATTACTTGAAATGCTTCTTGTGACAAAACGCTTTAAGTAATTGACTTTATAATTGCAAAATGTTATGAAGAGCCTTTCATCTGTCTCTCTGCTAAAGGCTCTGTGATAATTGAGGTGTCTCTCACGCCGCTACAAATGGCTGTTACACCGCAAACTCTCGCTTTAGTGGCAAACGCGCCTGGCTCTTGTAATGTTCCTGACTCGTTTTACACCAGTTGGTGCTGAACCTGTCTGTACCATGTAAGGGTGATCTCCTGAGGCGGCTGGATGCATGTATTCAGTACAGATGTGGTATAAATTAAGGGTACAAGGGATTTAATATTAACAGCTCGCAGTTTGAAAAGATAACAATTTGATCCCCGTTAAGAACAACTTAACTGCATTGTAAGCACCAGACAGGCCTAATTATTTTTGTTCGTAAACTACTTTTTGTTCAAACATCTTGCATATTATATACATGTTTTTCTAAAATGGTTAATGGTTTCCTTTCTCCACTCTCCAGTGTATTAGAACAACGTTCATGTAAATCTATCGCGTTTTTCGTAACAATAATAGGCCCTCCGATCCTATTGTTGCAACAAACTGTCTCGAAAAAGTATTATCCTATTGTTCCCATTGTTGAAACACTGTTGAGAAACTGACTTTGAATCCTATTAGCACAACAATAACCCAAGAAGCAACAGTAACTCGAGATAATAGCACAAGAACAATAACAATGTCCTGGCATTCCATTAGTGTAACAAAGATCCACCGCCACGGTGGTCTAGCGGTTAGAACGCTGGCCTTGTTATCCTGGGGTCTCGGGTTCGATTCCCGGCGGTGCCCGAATTTATAACTTGTGTTGGGCAAGGCCGTGGTCTAGGCAACACGGAGTTTTCCTCCGTGGCATCCCAAAAGTTACTCCATTCACACACAGAAGAAGGCAATGCCAAACCACTTCTGGATCATCTGCCAAAAACGTATATGAACAGGTCCCAGTCCGAGAAAAGGATGGAAGGATCCTGTTCATATGGACCTGTCGTCAGACAGAACACTAAATAAAAAATAACAAAGATCCACGTGATTTGGCGAGAAGAACACTTGGAATGTTAGTGTAATCCAAGGAGAACGTTTTTCAGTCTCATGAGCGTCACGATTAGAAACTACTTTCTAGTTTCCGTTGAATATTATCATAACAGGAAGCTTAAGAAAACTGGACACTGAGGATTCCTTTCACCTACTATTATCAGGACCATCAAGTCGATGAGTAATAGATGGGCTAGGCGTGCAGATGGTAGAGATGAGATGCATTTAAAATTTCAGTCTAAAACGTGCGAGTGTCATAGAGGGCAGAGCATTTCTTGTCCGGCTGACCGAAGGAGTTCTCTGTTGTGTGAAGTTGGTAAGTTAATTCTTCGAGTATTTGTTGATTATTCTGTTTCGCGGTGACTTCCGTGGACGTAAGTCTACATTCGTTTTTAATATTCTGTGAATTTGCACAGTGGTCAGGTAACCCCTCATTACTGATAGCGTTTTAAGAAGACGAATCCTACTCAGATATTCAGACGTGGTACTCTCTTACATCACACAGCCACTGGAAACGGGCTGTTTAAACCTCTGAAGTACGAAGCACATCTATTATTTAAGCCTCAGATAAAACAACATGTCTCCACTCTCCATGACTCTTCTATTTAATACTCCTTAAGAAGTTAATCACTTCTTATCCAGATAAATATTTTAAACTAGTAAATACGTCATGTGAGAATAATACAGTATCTCTGGATGTTAAAATATGTGACCATAATGTTTTAAATTGTTACAACTTAATGTTTTTAAACTTACCGCTCCCCACAACTAACATGTAAAAGTTTAAGTCCGTCTGCTTGATTAAAATAACAGCCCACAAAAGCGTATGAATGTTTGGAAGTTTAGCTTTACGTATTTGCAGAGACGACTTTTTAAGTCGTGATGTTTCATGATACTTACGTAATATTTCAGGTCTCCTTTGCGAATAAATTTTATGATTCACGAATTGTAGTAGTCGTTATCAGAACTTACGGAGTGCTTAACCCGGGACGGCTCAGTTAGAATAATGACTTGGATACTGGATGGGGGTTCGATTTCCGTCAGAGACACGGATTTATTTCTTCATCAGCAAACCAGACCTGTTCCGGATTTTACCCAGCCTCCTATCCAATGCGTAGCGGAAGTTTATTATAAGCGCAAAAACGACCTAGGCGTGAACCTGACCACTCGCCTCCATCTACTGCCGAGGTCAAGAAAGAGTGGAGTTGTCTC